GGAAAGAGGGGGAAAATGGTAGGACCAAGTCCTAGAATTTAGTATTAGAAAAAAATTAAAGTAACTGCCGCCCCCAAAAAAACTTACAAAAACTTACAACTCACCTGAGATATTTTCCTATCACATACATGTAAACTACATTGCTTTCCCTATTATTTCCTGATACAGACCTTAGTAATTGCCTACACCCTCTCTTTTTTGCATTTTCAGGATCTATTTTACCAAACAAAATATTCCAATTTATGCACAAAGTACAAGTTCATAAAGTATTTCATGGGTACTATACTCCTGTGCTCCTGTATAAACTATTCGGCTTGATCTTTCAACAGTTTAAGGGTGAAGCTAAGCAGTATCAGACGGAATGGTAAAAAATGTTTATTAGGCTTGACAATTTTGCAAACTAAATATTAGCCACCACAAACTCATAAAAAAGAATCTTATTGCAAAACTTGTCGGGTGATGTCACTAACAATATAAATGTCCATAAAGTTTGCAGAAACAGGAGCTAGGATACTCATGAAACATAAAAACATAGAATGGTTTGGGCTGGAACGAACCTTTAGAGGTCACCTAGTCCCACCCCCCCTGCAGTGAGCAGGGACACCTTTAACCAGATCAGGTTGCTCAGAGCCCCGTCCAACCTGGCCTTGAATGTTTCCAGGGATGGGGCTTCTACCACCTCTCTGGGCAGCCTGTGCCAGTGTCTCACCACCCTCAGTGTAAAAAGTTTCTTCCTTATATCTAGTCTAAATTTGCCATCTTTCAGTTTAAAATCATTACCCCTTGTCCTATCACAGCAGGCCCTGCTAAGAAGTCCCTCCCCACCTTTCCTGCAGGCCCCCTTTAAGCACTGGGAGGCCGCTAGAAGATCTGCCGGGAGCCTTCTCTTCTCCAGGCTGAACAACCCCAACTCTCTCAGCCTGTCCTCAAAGGGGAGGTGCTCCAGCCCCCTGACCATTTCCACAGCCCTCTTTCTGGACCTGCTCTACCAAGTCAATATCTTTCTTGTACAAGGGACCCCAGAGCTGGACAGAGCACTCCAGGTGGGGTCTCACCAGAGCAGAGTAGAGGGGCAGAATCACCTCCCTCGACCTGCTGGCCACACTCCCTTTGATACAGCCCAGGATATGGTTGGCTTTCTGGGCTGCAAGCACGCGTTGCCAGCTCATGTCCAGCTTTTCATTCACCAGTGCCCCCAAGTCCTTCTCAGCAGGGCTGCTGTCAATTCCTTCATCCCCCAGCCTGTATTGACACCGGGGGATGCCCTGACTCAAGTGCAGGACCTTGCACTTGGCCTTGTTGAGTCCCCTGAGGGTCACACAGCCCACTTCCCAAGCTTATGCAGGTCCCTCTGGATGGCATCCCGTCCCTCAGGTGTGCCAACCACACCACTCATTTTGGTGTTGTCTGCAAGCTTGCTGAGGGTGCACTCGATCCCACCGCCTGTGTCACTGATTAAGATATTAAACCGTACTGGTCCCAGTACAGACCGCTGAGCAGTAAGAGGGAAGGGAGGAATTCTGCAATTTCCTCAAGTAAGCTCAACACATATTAGGATTTTTGGTCTTTTCAAGACTATATTATGGCTCAATTATTCAATGGTTAACAAAACTCCTTCCTCCTCTCGTGACATCCAATGAAGAAGTTCTCACTTTGATAGAACTTATGACTGTTCCCATCTTAAATGTATGAACCTTTGCTGTGCATTATTACATTCTAAGTTGCCTTTTTTACTTCAGTGCTAATATTATCTTACTTGAGGGCATTATAAATCATGACATCAAACCCAGTGAGTGTGACACACTACTTCTTTTGCTCCAACATTACTGGCAATGCCATACTTTGTGAGACACATCCAAAGAGATCTACTTTTAAAATCTCTCCAGCCAGCTGGTTCCCTATGCAGCACACAGCACTGTCATCTTCAAATCACTTCACCTTCCATACTCACCCTACTATTTATGCCCCAATTATCACTCTCTTACCTGAACTAGTATTTTTCACTTGGGACGATAAATACACAGATAAAACACAGATTGTTTAGACACCCTACGCTTTCTTCATCTAGAAAGCAATTACAGTACTAACTGCAAAATCAATTATCAGTATCAAACAAAAATCTCCATAGAATTAGCCCTTTGTAGATACATTGCAAAACATTTTTTCCAATTTGTCAGCTTCTACACTGATTTTTCAGTCCTGTTGAAGGGAATTTAGACTTAGTAAGAATAAAGTTTCATTCTGTTCTGATAAAGCAAATCGACTTCAGTAAACCCCAGTAACTTTATTATACTGCAAATCTCAGGATACTAAAAAAATAATCCTGCCAGAACTTATGAATGCCTTTCAGTATAAGACATTTTACTTCTTACGCAAGATACACAGTAAAAAAAGTCTGACATGTTCATGTAAGACAAATGTCAGAAATACGTGAGACCCGCAGCAACAAAGAACGAGCAAGGCATATACGTAACACTGATCTACATCCAACATCTATCATCACAGACATATTATTTGTCTGGCATCTGGAGAAAATCTTCCTGACTCTTGAGCATCACTATTTAAATGTTGGAAATGCACATTAATCTTTCATTTTGATTTAACTTCCACACAGAACCATCTCACAAATACTGTAAAAGCTGTGAGAGCGCTGTATTTTTCACATAGAAAAAATTTATTTTTAACTTAAAAAATTTCAGCAATCTGGAAGTTTAAATGTGTGTTCTGTCAATACAAATAAAACAAAGAAAGGATCCAAAAGTGATCATAATATTCTACCTTGCCATCTCAGAATCACACGCACATGCCGTATCAGAACGTTATCAAAGCTGTAAACATTTACTCAAACACAAAGCCATGGTGAACTTCTTAATACATATACCTCTAAATTCTGACATTCCTGAGCCGAGTTAGTAGGTAGACCAATCCATTTGATTTCCTTCTTCTCCTTAGAGATAATGTTCATGGCCATAAGGACATTTAAGGCATCATAGACACGTCGTCTAATATTCTTCTGGTCATAAGCCTGCTGTAGACATAGTGCATTAATCAAAAAACATACCTGTGACAAAAATATTTGAAAATAAATACATTACAGTAAATGGGTAAACTCGGGTAATGTCTGAACTGTTTCATTTAGCAGTAGGAAAAGAAATACAAAAGTCTCAAAAGAAAATTCTCTTCCCCCATTCAGTTCACATGTAATTGACCTCCCACATACTTACTGATTCATTTGGTGAAATGTGATTATCAGTGGTACTGAATTCTGCAACCAACTCGTCTGCCACCTCATTGTATGAGGTGGTTCCTTTTCTTTGTACCTTCTCACAAACCTTCATAGAGAAATGACGTAAACCCTTGCCATTCTTCTCTCCTTTTTTGTTCCGCTTCCTAAATATACGTATAATATATATTTTAAGAAGATTTGAACTTTGGAATATTTAATGTCTCTTTTTCAAATACAGGCACACACTGCTGTAAAAAACCAAGCCTTCCCTTTTGTTCTGCTTCTCACCCCTTCCCAACTTTTTTTTCCTGTATTTTTTCCCTTACAATTTACAGTATTTAACAATTTTAATATCTTGACGCTGAAATACAGTACAAATTCATTCTTTTGGCAACTCTGCTAGCTCCTGTAGCAGATACGTTCACAATAGGAATATTCCTTGAAGAAGTCAATAAAGAAAACCTTCCAGTCTTCAAGACAAGAAGGGACAGGGGGATAAACACTAAACTATGAAAAGTGAATTACAGGAGGTAACTTTGTCTTTTTTGGGTTTTGTGGTGTTTTGTTTTGTGTGGGGTTTTTGGTTTTGGGTTTTTTTAAGATTTAAATAGCCCATCTAGTTTGATCATAAAAAAATTAAGACTGATTGAGCATTTTCTATGTAAGTCTGATACTGACTGAACAGATGATGTCTGATATTGGTTGAACTCACTAAAACACTACACTATTACTAAAACACAGATTTGAAGTTATAAAGTATATGAAGTTACTATGAAAACTTCAAAAGTTACAAGACACAAGAAGTATCACAAACTTTTTGCACACGTTTTAATTAAAAATTCCATGTAACTTGAGGAAAAACGTAAGTATCAACAAAATTAGTATCAGCAATGGAAAATTCTCAATTCTCTACATCTCATTTCGCTGTATAATTCCAAAGTAGAAATCTGTTTATGTGTAACAAGACACTGATGACAAATTTAATCTTAAAGCAGCTGCATCTAACAAGACTCTTAAAAAAAGCTTGCATGAGAAAAGACACCAAAAGAATGCATTCATTGTATCTAATACTTTTTCCCCAAAAAGGACTAAATTCTTAATTCAAGCGATACCTTGGAATACACTTGTTCAATGTGAAATGTACTGTATTTTTTTTGGAAACACATCAGCAAAACAGAATCTGAATGACGTCAGATTAATTCCTGTGTCCTTTTAGGAGCTAAATTCTCTAAACATAAGTAATGTGAGAATATCTGTCAAGAGTTTACAGAAAATATTCTAGTTCCTTTTATGACAAATGAGGGGGTATTCATTCTTGTGTGACCATTTCCAATTTTAATATAATTTACTTTAATGTTGAAGTGCTTTTGATGGAAAGGTAAACAGACTGACTGTCTCACACTGCTAGCCTGAAGAGTACATACACCATCACAGCAAATACTCAGAACAACAGTTCCAAACAATTTATGAATCCTTTCATTTTGCTCACCCAGCAGACCACGGCGAAGAATCTGCAGTCTGGTTCTGTGACACAAAATGTGTGTTAGGTGTATGTGGACTTCCTACCAGGATAGTATTTGGCGCTGAAGGTCTCTGAGGTGTACCAATAACCTATAGTAAAGATAAAATCATATTGAAAATGATCATAAGTATTCCAAGATGCTCATATGCTGCACGATTCAAATGATGCATTAGCCAAACAACGCTAATACCTTTTTTTCTACCTCCTTCTGTTAAATGCATTGAATTTATACACACTAGCACAAAACCCTTCAGACTACAGATTATATAGTTAGAGTAATCCCTAACTAATAAGTATTTATGTTTTATCCTTCTTAAATGAGCTTTTCATGCTTGCTGGATTTCTTAGCACTGTTCAACACTAACTTAGACAAGATCAAAACACACACACCCTCTCAACCCCAAAAGAAAAAGGGAAAAAAGGACGAAAAGAATCCACTCTACCAGACTATGTATAAAGAAGTTGTAATAAATTACAGTTCAAATATGAACATATGAAACAAGAAGATCTGAAAAACAGTAAAAGCAGAGAGAAAATGTAGAGCTGTTGCAAGAAAGGCCAAATTCTCTCCTACAATCAGTCTCTTATCACTATGGAGTGAAAACCAAAATACGAGTATGTTAGAGGTGAGGAAGAATAAGGGCCAACTTTATCACTGCAGTGAGAGAGACCAATTTAGGCAAAATCATTCCATTCTGAACGTATTAGGAGCACACACTCAGAGGATCACAGTCTTCTAGCTTACAGGTACGTAGTCCTGAAGTGTGCTAATTTGATCATGAGTAATACATACTTTCACACACAGAGCCATACTCTCCTTATCTGTGAAACTAGCTGATGCAGAACTCTCGTCTCTGCAGATGATGTTTTTTATCTCTGAAATGATATAAATGTAACTTTCCACAGAATATGTAATTAGGAAAACAAAATGATACTGTACAAACTTCTATTTTGTAGAAAGATACGCCTACTTTTTGGGTGTATATTTACCTCCCAGCAGAAACAGTGGGTTGCATCCCTGACATCAGGTAAGTGAAACAAACATCAAAAGAACCTAAACTCATAATCACCCACAAGCTTGCTGTATTTTCCTGTAGCCACATTCAGCCTCACCAACAAAATTTTAAGTTTCTTCCTCAGGCTAGCTTCAATAATTTAGCCTCAACAAGAGTAAAATAGAAAAACTGAAAACCTAAAGTGAAACATTTTATGCGGGAAAGTTAAATGAATCAGAATTTGAATAACCTTTAAATGCAGAATGCAAAGGTACTCTAGTGACTATTAGATGTTCACGATTTCAGCTGCCTGGAAGGACAAAATGCTGCATTTTTTTCCCCCCAAACACTCTCTTTATACTATACCACCTCTCTGAGTAGTTAACATACAGGTTTGTTACATCCACTTCTGACAGCTGGAAAATTAAACTCCTCCTCCCCTTTCCAGTACCTTTGTTCCATACTTAAAATGTTTCTAATTTTTATGGCAAGTCAACTAATCTCCTCTACTACTTTTCATAAACAAAACTTCTGATTGGGGGTAACTGAATGAGGGTGGGGGATACCAAACAGGCACAGGACACATGTGAACAAGCTCACTTTCTCCCCATGAAAAAACCACTAGCAGTTCTGCTGTTGACTGGTCTGGTTCACCAAATGTCTTGAAAGACTATGAAAACCATTCGTGTGCCACTCAAGTAATGCAGACAATACAGAGAACAGAGAAAAACTGTTAGCCAGTTTTTATTCCCTAGGATGCAGTTGAGAGGACTGGAAGAGATGATTCAGTATCTTGCTCACTAAAGACTAAAATTAGAGTGTCCGACTCTACTCCCCAGTTTCCTATTTCCACAAGCAGCTCCACCATCACCCTGGTGTCACATCTAGAATTTGTAGGCCTGTGCAGTAAGATGAGAGCCAAGCCAGTACAGGGGAGAGGGTGGAATTACAGCTGGGAGAAAAACAAACCATTTGGCAGCAGCAAAGCTTGGATATCTACTGCACTCCGTAGTGTCTTGCAATACTCAACAGTACAAAGGAATAAATGGAAGCATGTACAAATTCACAGGGTTCAATTCTAGAGTGGCAAAGTCTGTTTAATACACTCAGAACCTGCTCTGCATTCCCATTCTAACTCACAAAAGTCTGCAAACTAGCCAGAATTACATGCTTTAATGTATTACTATTAAGGAAGACCCTACAGTCTAGACTTTCAGAATCTTCCAAGGAATTACTTTGTATTATTGGTTCCTTAATAGAAAAGTTAATGCCCCTAAATTTTACTCATCAGTTTATAAACAACCATGACTTTGAATGAAAAAGAGTTAAGCAGTGTCAAGTCACTGGGAACACCCTAAGCAGAAAGCTTATAGACAGAATTATAGAGGACAATTTTAGAGAAAACAGAGGAACTGAGGGAGAGAAGCGAAAGTAGAGAAAGTAGCGCCTGCTGTTTCCCTTAGGTTTCCTGATTGCAAAAGAGAACAAGATCACAGTTTAGCTCCTTGATAATGAATAAGATAAGGACAATGGGGAAAGCAGAAAGACAGCCCACACACTCCACTTCACTGTACTCAGCAGAAAAACTTATATGGGAACAGTATTAAGAAAAAGAAATCAGACTACCTGAACAAAGAACACAAGTTCAGAAAATTTAGTATTAAAAGTATTAAACCCCTGTTATTTAAGTATTGAAAGTATTAAGTATTTAAGTATTAAAAATCTGTTTTCACCACTCAAAGGTTAGGAAGTTGAGCAGGGCCACAAGCCAATTCCTCACCTCTGCTTCCCAAGAATATTTTGTGCATCAACAGAAAATTTATCTCCTCTTAATTTTCAGGGTTCTAGAGGTAAATTTTTTATAGTTCTTGCTATCCCCTTCAGAACTGTAAAGCCAACGGAAATTTACGCAACATTTCTCTCCATATATACACAAAAAAACCCCTCCATCTCTTCTTTAACGACATACAACTAATCATCTAATTTTGTCCTGATGACCACCAACACAAATATGCTGATATGGTCCCTTCTTTCACAAAAAAAATAATGCTAATATGTTCAGAGGAAGACTTAAAATGCTGAAAAAATTATGATTGCAAATGTAGATTTCCCACAGCAATCAATATTAACAAAACCACCATTAAGAGTAGTTACTATTTCAGAATTGTATTTTTTAAATAATTTTACCGTATAAAATTAATCATAGATAATTAGATGAGGATTTGTCAATTTAGACTTGAGATGTAAGACAGAAAAATTAATTTTGTATGTATATAAATACTGAAACATTAATTTACTGATTGTTAAAAAGTTTTAAAAAAGCATCAGATGATTTGTAATTTCATCATTACCCTCTTGTTTGGGTACTTTAAGAACAGATGCTGGAAGTTACCTGAAAGAACATTTCATTTTCAACATTGAACTCAACTATGCACACAGTCTCACAATAATGCCCAGAAGGGATCCCCTCTGTGCCATTATGGCCTATATCTACAGTTAAAACATTCTCTTCCTACTGCTGGTTACTGATTTTAAATTAAAAGAATGCCTAACTACTCTGAATTTCCTTCTTTGGAAATTTATTGATAAAATGCCTCCCTTCAGTTAAACTCATTTCGCTATACTGTAACTTCCAAGTGGCTGCTGGAAGTAGTGCATTCACCACCCCTGCTGGAAATACGGCACAGTGAATGATCAGCACTACATCTGTACAGCTGAAGCGGTACAGTTTACAGATTCAGGCAGCCTCAATTATAAAACACTCCTTCGAGCTTGGAGTTGGGAAAAGTAGACAGCAAACTGCTTTCCTATCAAGAAGAAAATGAAACATAAGACATTCCATTTCAGATGTTTACATGCTACAGTTGCTTTCCAGAAAATGAATTGAGACCAACTCTTCT